GACTGGCTTTCTTGTGTTCTCTGTTATGTTGTGTTCTCTCTCATGTTATATTTTGTTATCTCCCATGTTATTTCGTGTATTTACTGTTTGTATCTGCAGAATCGAGCTATTAGCTCTTGGAACCCGCCTTTCTAATCAATTTTTTCTCTATAATATCTACTACATATTTCTAAACACACACACACACACACACACACACACACACACACACACACACACACACACACACACACACACACACACACACAAACACACACAGCACACCCACACACACACGCAGGTGAACACAATTAGGTGAGTACACACACACACACACACACACACACACACACACACACACACACACACACACACACACACACACACACACACACACACACACACACACCTGTTGACACACACACACACACACACACACCAAACAGCCAGAGCACACAACCCCGATCACAAACATGACTCTCAATGATCTTTAATGAGTCACTTATGTCGGGAGAATTGCCCAGTTGCTGGAAGGAGGCAAATGTCGTACTGATTTTCAAGAAAGGTGATAGAAGAATAATTAGGCTAAGACTTGTTGAGCACCTGGAGAGCATTGGGTTTGTAAACAAGTACCAACATGGGTTCTGGACAGGGAAATCATGCCTAACAAACCTTTTAGAATTCTATGATAAAGTAACAAGGATAAGGCAGGACAGAGAAGGCTGGGCAGACTGCATATTTCTTGACTGCCAAAAAGCCTTTGATACAGTACCGCACATGAGACTGCTATACAAACTTGAGAGGCAGGCAGGAGTAAGCGGAAAGGCCCTAGTATGGGTGAAGAACTATCTAACAGGAAGGAGCCAGAGGGTAATGGTAAGGGGCGAGAAGTCGGACTGGCGAACAGTAACAAGTGGAGTACCTCAAGGATCGGTGCTGGGACCAATCCTCTTTCTAATTTACGTAAATGATATGTTTACAGGAGTGGAATCATACATGTCAATGTTTGCGGATGACGCAAAATTAATGAGAAGAGTTGTGACAGACGAGGATTGTAGGATCCTCCAAGAGGACTTAAACAGGTTGCAGAGATGGTCAGGGAAATGGCTACTGGACTTTAACACCAGTAAATGTAAAGTTATGGAAATGGGATCAGGTGACAGGAGACCAAAGGGACAGTACACAATGAAGGGGAACAGCCTACCTGTAACGATTCGAGAAAGAGACCTGGGAGTGGATGTGACACCTAATCTAACTCCTGAGGCACATATAAATAGGATAACGACAGCAGCGTACTCTACACTGGCGAAAATTAGAACTTCATTCAGAAACCTAAATGAGGAGGCTTTTAGGGCGCTTTACACTGCCTACGTGAGACCCGTCTTAGAGTATGCCGCGCCATCATGGAGCCCCCACCTGAAGAAACACATAAAGAAACTGGAGAAGGTTCAGAGGTTTGCGACGAGGCTTGTCCCAGAGTTACGAGGGATGGGATATGAAGAGCGTCTGAAGGAACTGAACTTTACGACACTAGAGAAAAGAAGGGAGAGAGGAGATATGATAGGGACATATAAAATACTCAGGGGAATTGACAAAGTGGAAATAGATGAAATGTTCATACGTAATAATAACAGAACGAGGGGACATGGGTGGAAACTGGAAACTCAAATGAGTCACAGGGATGTTAGGAAGTTTTCTTTTAGCGTGAGAGTAGTGGAAAAATGGAATGCACTTAAGGAGCAGGTTGTGGAAGCAAATACTATTCATACTTTTAAAACCAGGTATGATAGGGAAATGGGACAGGAGTCATTGCTGTAAACAACCGATGCTCGAAAGGCGGGATCCAAGAGTCAATGCTCGATCCTGCAAGCACAAATAGGTGAGTACACACACACACACACACACACACACACACACACACACACACACACACACACACACACACACACACACACACACACACGCGCGCGCGCGCGCACACACACACGCGCGCGCGCGCGCGCACACACACACGCGCGCGCGCACACACACACAGGGGCCTCGTAGCCTGGTGGATAGCGCGCAGGACTCGTAATTCTGTGGCGCGGGTTCGATTCCCGCACGAGGCAGAAACAAATGGGCAAAGTTTCTTTCACCCTAAGTGCCCCTGTTACCTAGCAGTAAATAGGTACCTGGGAGTTAGTCAGCTGTCACGGGCTGCTTCCTGGGGTGTGTGTGGTGGAAAAAAAAAGTAGTAGTTAGTAAACAGTTGATTGACAGTTGAGAGGCGGGCCGAAAGAGCAAAGCTCAACCCCCGCAAAAACAACTAGTAAACACAACTAGTAAACACAACTAGTAAACACAACTAGTAAACACAACTAGTAAACACACTAGTAAAAACAACTAGTAAACACATGGAACATCTGGAGCGAAAGAACTTTGTAACACAGCATCAACATGGGTTCAGGGATGGCAGGTCCTGCCTCACAGGGTTACTTGAATTCTACGACCAGGCAACAAAAATCAGGCAAGAAAGAGAAGGGTGGGCAGACTGCATATTTTTGGATTGCCAGAAAGCCTTTGATACAGTACCACACAAGAGGCTAGTGAAAAAGCTGGAGATGCAGGCTGGAGTGAAAGGGAAGGTACTCCATTGGATAAAGGAGTACCTAAGCAACAGGAGACAACGAGTCACTGTGAGGGGTGAGGTCTCAGATTGGCGAGACGTTACAAGTGGAGTTCCGTAGGGGTTAGTCCTTGAACCTATACTATTTCTGATGTATGTAAATGATCTCAGAGAGGGTATAGACTTGAAGAAAATTATGAGGAAGATTGAAACTGAGGACGATAGTAAGAGGCTACAAGATGACCTAGACAGACTGAGTGAATGGTCCAACAAATGGCTGTTGAAGTTCAACCCGAGTAAATGCAAAGTCTTGAAACTAGGCAGTGGAAACATGAGGCCAGACACAGGATACAGAATAGGAGATGAAGTACTTAATGAAACGGACAGAGAGAAAGATCTAGGAGTTGATATCACACCAAACCTGTCTCCTGAAGCCCACATAAAGAGAATAACGTCTGCGGCATATGCGAGGATGGCTAACATCAAAACAGCGTTCAGGAACCTGTGTAAGGAATCATTCAGAATCTTGTACACCACATATGTAAGACCAATCCTGGAGTATGCGACCCTAGCATGGAGCCCGTACCTTGTCAAGCACAAGATGAAGCTGGAAAAAGTTCGGAGGTATGCCACTAGACTAGTCCCAGAACTAAGAGGCATGAGTTATGAGGAAAGGCTGCGGGAAATGCACCTTACGACACTGAAGACAGAAGAGTAAGGGGAGACATGATCACAACCTACAAAATCCTCAGGGGAATCGACCGGGTAGACAAGGATAAACTATTCAACACTGGTGGTATGCGAACAAGGGGACACAGGTGGAAACTGAGTACCCAAATGAGCCACAGGGACGTTAGAAAGAACTTTTTTTCATTGTCAGAGTAGTTAACAGGTGGAATGCATAGGGCAGTGATGTGGTGGAGGCTGACTCCATACACAGTTTCAAATGTAGATATGATAGAGCCCAATAGGCTCACGTACCAGTTGATCGACAGTTGAGAGGCGGGACCACAGAGCCAAAACTCAACCCCCCCTAAGCACAAATAGGTGAGTACATATACGCTGCACTGGTTCCTGTTTGGACAGCACGCTGGACATGTAATACTGTGGCCCGGGTTCGATTTCCGGCGCCGGCGAGAAAACAAAATGGGCAGAGTTTCTTTTACCCTGATACCCCTGTTACCTAGTAGTAAATGGGTATCTGGGAATTAGACAGCTGTTACTGGCTGCTTCCTAGATGGGTGTTTGTGGGGAAAAAAATTAGTTTGTAGTTAGTAACAGTTGATTGATTGACAGTTGAGAGGCGGGCCGAAACAGCAGAGTTCAAAAGCCCGCAAGCACAACTAGGTGAATACACATACAGAAGAAGACAGACTAGTTAGAGGGGACATGATCACCACATGCAAGATTCTCAAAGGAATTGATAGGGTAGATAAAGGCAAGCTATTTAACACTAGGGGCACACGCACTAGGGGACACAGGTGGAAATTGAGTGCCTAAATGAGCCATAGATTTATCAGAAAGAACTTTTTTTCAGTGTCAGAGTAGTTAACAAATGGAATGCATTAGGCAGTGATGTGGTGGAGGCTGACTCCATACACAGTTTCAAGTGTAGATATGATAGAGCCCAGTAGGCTCAGGAACCTGTACACCTGTTGACAGTTGAGAGGCGGGACCAAAGAGCCAGAGCTCAACCCCCGCAAGCACAACTAGGTGAATACAACTAGGCGAATACAGATCATAATTGCATGCCACCTCAAAATGGCCAGTCACGGTGAACAAACATGTGAACATGTAGTGGATGTATGAACATATGTTCAGAAAAAGGTTTAGGAAATAAAAGGCTGATAGACCCATTGGGATATCAGAGAAATAAGATATCAGGTGTGAGGAGGAGCGAGGAACACTGACCTCTGATGACCTAACACACCACAGTGGACGTCTGGAAATGTGGAGGAGGAGGCGGGCAAGTGTTCCCCTGTCTCAAGACACTGTCATAATCCATGGTTCAGTCAAGATGAGAAAGGTGAGAGACATCATGGAAATGATGTGTGAGGTGTGAGGGGCAGGTGTGAGGGCAGGTGTGAGGGCAGGTGTGAGGGCAGGTGTGAGAGCAGGTATGAGGGCAGGTGAGGCAAGCAGTCACACACACTGCTCCAGCAGTATTTCCTGACATCTGCTCGTGATTGACTTGACTCATCACGGACTCATCCCTGGCTACTGACTCACCACTTCCTGCCCCTGGAGGAGTGTCTACTCATCCCTGTAGCCCACTCAGTAGCTGTGATAGCGGGCGTCAAGCTCCAGCTCCTGAACCCGCCTCCTGAACCCTAATTGCACTTCCTCTTTTCCTTTACAAACTATATTGAGTTGCTTTTTTAACTTGTCTGTGCCGCCTCATGCTGGTCACTCCCATATGTCCCCCCGTCCCTCCCAGCAGCTGGGAGACCAGCTGCCGGGAGACCAGCAGCTGGGAGACCAGCAGCTGGGAGACCAGCAGCTAGGAGACCAGCAGCTGGGAGACCAGCAGCTGGGAGACCAGCAGCTGGGAGACCAGCAGCTGGGAGACCAGCAGCTGGGAGACCAGCAGCTGGGAGACCAGCAGCCGGGAGACCATCAGCTAGGAGACCATCAGCTAGAACACCGGCAGCTAGGAGACCAGCAGCTAGGAGACCAGCAGCTAGGAGACCAGCAGCTAGGAGACCAGCAGCTAGGAGACCAGCTTCAACAAGACACAAGGTGAGTGAAGATTACTGTGAAAAGTAGCGCATCGCAAATATCTTACGTTTTCTATGCATCGGACTCAATACGTTAGATAGATATTACTTCATTTCCTACGTGTCTGGTGAGCTTAGTAGGTTGAATTTTTGACGGAGTGGCAAAGGAAGAGAAAGGCGTGAACAGTGATCAATTCAGCCAGTTCCTGCTTCGTAAGACATGACACATATATACATTATACACTATTATTCATGCATTATGTATGCTAGTATACATTGGGTTTTACATCTCCACCCAAGACCGCAATTATAAGGCAGTGTTGTTGAAGTCATACATTGGGATCGAACCCATGTCCATGGTCGCCTCAGCCTCACGCATTACCGACTGCACCATGACATGTCACGTTCTGATGATTTTGATGAGGACTACGAATATAATTTTATACATGGTGGTGTATTACACACACAACAACGTCGTTCGGTGTTCAACGGAAAACGTCAAGATGTTCAACGGTAAATATTGTGTTGTTCAACGATAAATATTGTGTTGTTCAACGATAAATATTGTGATGTTCAACGATAAATATTGTGTTGTTCAACGATAAATATTGTGATGTTCAACGATAAATATTGTGATGTTCAACGATAAATATTGTGATGCACATATTGAACATCAAGCGATGTTTTATACCCACCATTATATAGCTATATATAGTATATACCCACATATGTGGTATACCCTCATCTTTTGCACGTTGATCCACATGACAATTCCACATATGGTGGCGGGTTATTATTGTTATAGAGAGCCTCGTTTGTCTTTGTAACTTGTAAAGTTCAACAAGTGTAACCCAGGCCCCCATGATCGAGGGAAGATGTACTGGTTTCGCAGGTGGACGCGCGAAGGCTTCGTGAAAACTGGTCCAAGTTTCAAATATTCGAAAGCAAAGTTTCAAAATCTGTTAAGTTATTTTAGTCGAAGGTGAAGAGATCCAGAACAGCCCAGGACTTTGTGACATCCGACTTGCTAGTGTAAGAAATATTGCTGGAAAAGTCTTGAAGCTTTTGTTGAATAACTAATGAACAAAACCAAGATGCCAGCCAAGGTGCCAGCCAAGGTGCCAGCCAAGGTGCCAGCCAAGGTGCCAGCCAAGGTGCCAGCCAAGGTGTCAGCCAAGGTGCCAGCCAAGGTGTCAGCCAGCCAAGGTGCCAGCCAAGGTGCCAGCCAAGGTGTCAGCCAAGGTGCCAGCCAAGGTGCCAGCCAGCCAAGGTGCCAGCCAAGGTGCCAGCCAAGGTGCCAGCCAAGGTGCCAGCCAAGGTGCCAGCCAAGGTGCCAGCCAGCCAAGGTGCCAGCCAGCCAAGGTGCCAGCCAAGGTGCCAGCCAAGGTGCCAGCCAAGGTGTCAGCCAGGTGCCAGCCAAGGTGCCAGCCAAGGTGTCAGCCAAGGTGCCAGCCAGCCAAGGTGCCAGCCAAGGTGCCAGCCAAGGTGCCAGCCAAGGTGCCAGCCAGCCAAGGTGCCAGCCAAGGTGCCAGCCAAGGTGCCAGCCAAGGTGTCAGCCAAGGTGCCAGCCAAGGTGCCAGCCAGCCAAGGTGCCAGCCAAGGTGCCAGCCAAGGTGCCAGCCAAGGTGTCAGCCAAGGTGCCAGCCAAGGTGCCAGCCAGCCAAGGTGCCAGCCAAGGTGCCAGCCAAGGTGCCAGCCAGCCAGGTGCCAGCCAAGGTGCCAGCCAAGGTGCCAGCCAAGGTGCCAGCCAAGGTGTCAGCCAAGGTGCCAGCCAAGGTGTCAGCCAAGGTGCCAGCCAAGGTGTCAGCCAAGGTGCCAGCCAAGGTGTCAGCCAAGGTGCCAGCCAAGGTGTCAGCCAAGGTGCCAGCCAAGGTGTCAGCCAAGGTGTCAGCCAAGGTGTCAGCCAAGGTGTCAGCCAAGGTGCCAGCCAAGGTGCCAGCCAAGGTGTCAGCCAAGGTGTCAGAGAAGGTGTCAGCCAAGGTGCCAGCTAAGGTGCCAGCCAAGGTGTCAGCCAAGGTGCCAGCCAGCCAACCTTGTAAGAATATGTCGCCAGATTTTCTTGGGGAACTTGACAAGTTCCTGCTGGGTTGTGGTGGCTATATAAAACCCACCACATGGCTATATCAGAACCTAAAAACTCTGGAAATCGACCACAGGTAAACAGGCGTAATTACACCATACGTTTTTTTCTGTCATCGCTGAGAGGTTGTAGGAGGTTATCTATTGTATCTCCCAGGTTATTTGACTTGGGGCTCCGGCCGGCTCTGGTACACCCTATACTTAGTCCAAGAGTGTTACTACTCACCCACGCCCAGGCTTTGTATTCCTTCTAAGGTATCCATTTATGGGAATGCCCGCAGGGTTCACCTTGTCTATAGCGTGAGGAACTCTATGGCTGTATACAATGACTGAGCCCCGTTGAGCGCGAACACTGAGCATGGCCTCGGGCGCCATGCTACCCTTGTGACCAGCGCCTCGCCACCATACAACCCTCAGGCTGGAAAGCAACTGCAATAAGGCATCGCTAACCCAAAGAGTTTCCCAACGTTTGCAATATAACTCCGTGAGTCAGCTTGATCGCCATGCACCTGTAGACTATGCCGACATGCTGCTTCAACAATATGCAAGCACTGCCAGGGTAATCACCCTTACAAATTAGCGTGTAACAAAGATGAAGTTGCAGGCGATGAGTCACAATAACGTGGCTAAAGTAAGTTGACCAGACCACACACTAGAAGGTGAAGGGACGACGACGTTTTGGTCCGTCCTGGACCATTCTCAAGTCGATTGAGAATGGTCAACTAGATCTAATTCAACATCAAAGATGAAGTTGAATTAGATCTAGGTATCCCAATCTCTGCTGTTAAAACTATATTGTTCCTAACACTGATCAAGTCTGATAGGAAAAAAATTACTGACTCCCAACGATCTGAAAGCACCAGTATAAAAAGCTATGATTTGTTCAGATCTGAAACCTATATCTATGGGCAGCACAAAACGTCGACCAGACTGTGCGACACAGTGGTTGGCAGGATCAGGTTGGGTTACCGTTACCTGTGGCAGGTGGCTGCAGGTGACGGGTCTCCCAATCCTGAGCACTCCAGGTGCACACTCTGTGAGCAGGAACTGCGGCATGATCTCCCATACTACATTACTGAATGCCTAATTATCAGACCCGTTGGCATGAGCTACCTGGAGCTTTGCAATTACTTTATTCACTCTCGTGTTCTTGAAGATATCCTCATATTGCACCCAAAATTTGCCAGTGCAGGCTACTAAACATATGACCCTGTATGACTAACCATCCTGCGAGATGGGGACTTTTAGTGCCAAGTTCAGCATACCTTAGCCTAGGAGGGCAAAAATCAGTCAATATGGGACATTATACAATATAATGTTCAAGAGAGTGCATGTTTTCTCGAGTACACAAAGTTGACACATTGTGCACTCGACATTTGGGGTTTGAGAAAGCTGCCAGATACGTCTATATCCCAGGCGTATTCTGGCCACTATAACATCACATTGCCGGGTTCTTGTTCTATTAGTCCCATATGTGAATGTCTCCTCGCGATATCTATCATAATATTTAATGCTACAACTTTCAGGTCTTTGCGAATTTGTTAGGTCGGTGAGATCTTCATTAGATATTTGTTTAAGTATTCTCTTTGTCACTGCTAATGAAACATACATATCAATTTCTACCACTTTTTTTTTACAGGCTGTCTTTGCAAGCATATCAACAGTGTCATGCCTTGAGATGCCAACATGTGATGGTATCCATAGGAATTTAATTTAAAATCTGTTTTCTTTAGCAGCTTAAACATTTATTCGAATATCACTGACTATTTTCTGGGTGTCACTACTATGAGCGTTCAATGCCAGGAGTGCACTCTGCGAGTCACAGTATATAAGTCCACTGCCTTTGTCCTTTAAAAATTCAGTGGCAAGGTATATGCCTGCAAGTTCGGTTTGAGTTGTACTTGCCCAGTCATTGACGCGCTTCATTGCTGTATGTACGAGAAAAGATTGTTCAAATATATTACATGCACATCCGGTACATCGTCCACCTTCTACAGAGCCGTCGGTATAGCACTGATACACATCGTTACCCATACTCTGAGTACTTTCAGTGATGCTTTTCAGTGTTAACTGTTTTAATAATGTAGAGTGCACACTATCGTTCTTGGGCGCATTTACAAAATCAACTGATAGATCCCAGTTATCCCATGGAGTAATTGGTTGATTAATCATTAATTGAGTTGGGTACATATTTAATATTTTGATGGAGTTGGCAACCTTGTAGAACCAAAATACATAATCAGCTTTCGTTCGTATGTGTATAAAGTATATATGGAAGCTGATCAGAATTACATTTCACTTTCGTAAATGCACATTAATGACACTATGTAAAAGACACATCGAACACTTTATGTAGGGCATACGTAAATCTGTGTATCTATGTATTTACGTATGTAGGTTAGCTTAGCATTTTAAAAGCACCGACACACCTTCTGTGGTTGATTGTTCAACAAACCCCAAAACTATATGTTTAACACATCTTTAACCCCTGTCCATGGAGGACAGAAGAAAATGTATATATGCTGCATAGCATTGTAAATGTTTGGCCACGTCTGACGTAGAAAATAATAATAAAAAAAACTGCTATCTTATTCACTCTTGTGTTGATGATATCCTCAAAATGCTCCCAGAGTCTGCCAGTACAGACTACTGATCACGTGCCTCTGTATGACTAACCATCCTGTGTGATGGGGATTTTTAGCATCACGGAGCTAGCTTTTTGACACACTGTACTCCCCTTCATATAGTCTAGGGCAGCTGCACAAATGCACTTGTATCTAATGTATTAATAAACAAAAAGTTCACAGCCAAGCAGCGCATGCCAGGCGAGACAATTTCATGCGGCTTTGTTAATATTGAGGTATTTTGTGTTGTATAATATTGTATTTTGCACACTCGCTGTGCTGTATTGAATGATTTATGAACTTGATATGGCAACATCTCATCGCTATATCTGTATATCACCTCAAGTACTTTGTAGACAAGTTATGGCAACTCTCGGGTGTGGGTGTGAAACATGTGTGGTGGGTGTGTAACATGTGTGGTGGGTGTGCAACATGTGTGGTGGGTGTGCAACATGTGTGGTAGGTGTGCAACATGTGTGGAGGGTGTGCAACATGTGTGGTGGGTGTGCATCATGTGTGGTAGGTGTGCATCATGTGTGGTAGGTGTGCAACATGTGTGGAGGGTGTGCAACATGTGTGGAGGGTGTGTAACATGTGTGGTGGGTGTGTAACATGTGTGGTGGGTGTGTAACATGTGTGGTGGGTGTGCAACATGTGTGGTGGGTGTGCAACATGTGTAGTGGGTGTGCAACATGTGTGGTGGTGTGCAACATGTGTGGTGGGTGTGCAACATGTGTGGTGGGTGTGCAACATGTGTGGTGGGTGTGTAACAGGTGTGGTGGGTGTGCAACATGTGTGGTGGGTGTGCAACATGTGAGGTGGGTGTGCAACATGTGTGGTGGGTGTGCAACATGTGTGGTGGGTGTGCAACATGTGTGGTGGGTGTGCAACATGTGAGGTGGGTGTGTAACAGGTGTGGTGGGTGTGCAACATGTGTAGTGGGTGTGCAAAATGTGTGGTGGGTGTGCAACATGTGTAGTGGGTGTGCAACATGTGAGGTGGGTGTGCAACATGTGTGGTGGGTGTGCAACATGTGTGGTGGGTGTGCAACAGGTGTGGTGGGTGTGCAACATGTGTGGTGGGTGTGCAACATGTGTGGTGGGTGTGCAACAGGTGTGGTGGGTGTGCAACATGTGAGGTGGGTGTGCAACATTTGTGGTGGGTGTGCAACAGGTGTGGTGGGTGTGCAACATGTGAGGTGGGTGTGCAACATTTGTGGTGGGTGTGCAACAGGTGTGGTGGGTGTGCAACATGTGTGGTGGGTGTGCAACAGGTGTGGTGGGTGTGCAACATGTGTGGTGGGTGTGCAACAGGTGTAGATGACACAGGATATTACAAGGCTAACGTGTATTAGCGTACATTTAGATTTCCACTGTTCTAGTTCCTGTTCTTTTGAAGGTGTGTAGCGTAGTGTTGGGTGGGAGGTGTGTAGCGTAGTGTTGGGTGGGAGGTGTGTAGGGTGGGAGGTGTGTAGGGTGGGAGGTGTGTAGTGTAGTGTTGGGTGGGAGGTGTGTAGTGTAGTGTTGGGTGGGAGGTGTGTAGTTTAGTGTTGGGTGGGAGGTGTGTTGGGTGGGAGGTGTGTAGGGTGGGAGGTGTGTAGTGTAGTGTTGGGTGGGAGGTGTGTAGTGTAGTGTTGGGTGGAAGGTGTGTAGTTTAGTGTTGGGTGGGAGGTGTGTAGGGTGGGAGGTGTGTAGGGTGGGAGGTGTGTAATGTAGTGTTGGGTGGGAGGTGTGTAGTGTAGTGTAGGGTGGGAGGTGTGTAGTGAAGTGTAGGGCGGGAGGTGTGTAGTGTAGTGTTGGGTGGTAGGTGTGTAGTGTAGTGTTGAGTGGTAGGTGTGAAGTGTAATGTTGGGTGGGAGGTGTGTAGTGTTGGGTGGGAGGTGTGTAGCGTAGTGTTGGATGGGAGGTGTGTAGTGTAGGAGGAGTGTAGTGTTGGGTGGGAGGGGTGTAGCCTGGGGTGAGAGGGGTGTGTAGTCTAGGGTGAGAGGGGTGTGTAGCCTGGGGTGGGAGGTGTGTAGCCTGGGGTGGGAGGGGTGTATCCTGGGGTGGGAGGGGTGTAGCCTGGGGTGGGAGGGGTGTAGCCAGGGGTGTGTAGCCTGGGGTGGGAGGTGTGTAGCCAGGCGTGGGAGGGGTGTAGCCTGGGGTGGGAGGGGTGTAGCCTGGGGTGGGAGGGGTGTAGCCAGGGGTGGGAGGGGTGTAGCCAGGGGTGGGAAGGGTGTGTACCCAGGGATGGGAGGGGTGTAGCCAGGGTGGAAGGGGTGTGTAGCCAGGGGTGGGAGGGGTGTACCCTGGTTTGGGAGGTGTGTTGTAGCCAGGGGTGGGAGGGGTGTAGCCAGGGGTGGGGGGGTGTAGCCAGGGGTGGGAGGGGTGTAGCCAGGGGTGGAGGTGTCAGTAATGATACCAGTAATATTAAGAGCGCCCGCAGCTCCGTACAGCAGACGTGATAACAGGTGTGTGC